TATAAACTGAAAAACAAAATGGATGGGTTGAACTAAGATGGAAAAGTTAATGTTTTAAAGAACTCATGTGATCTGACACAAAACATGAAGACAGAGCTACTATCTTCAAAATTAAAATGTTCAACTTCTTCGTTTTCCAACAAACTTTGTCTCTTGATACAACAAACTATTAGAATGTGAAGTTTTAAATTTTTTACATTAAACATATGAAGATTATCTATGGACAAAGAAAAATGAATAAAATCTGGTCATAACTTTATCAATTAATCACAGTTAACTTTAAAAATGAATCTAGTAAGAACTTTTAAACCTGCCTTTGTAACTTTATAACTTACTGTGAACACCTATTTTTTTTTTTTACATTCTTAACGGTTACAAGGAATTCCACTGTAGAGATGAATTACCTTGCTTTTCCCCAAACTCTATTTTTAGATAATTAGGGTTTCTTAAATCTAATGTGAATAACTAGATTGTCTGCAGGTGGGGTTTTGGTTTTGTTTTTGCTACTATAAGCAATACTGGATAAATATGCTCACTATAAAATCTTTTATGAACATGCATGATTACTTCCTTGGGATACACTCTTATAAGTGGAATTTGTGAACTGAAGAATATGTATATGTTTTAAAGCTCCTATCGGCTGTTGCCAGGTTACTTTCCAATTTACACTTGTACCAGCAGGGTATCAATTACCCTTTTCTCCATGTTCTTGCCAACATCTGGGACATTCTTACCAACATCGTTTCTGTGGTTGCCAGTTTTACAGATGGGAAGTTGCATCATTATTTTATTTATGATCACTAGGAAGATCTACCCTTTTCCCCAAAGTTTTTGCTAATTTACATTTTTTTTAAAGATTTTATTTATTTGAGAGAGAGAGAATGAGAGATAGAGAGCACGAGAGTGAGGAGGGTCAGAGGGAGAAGCAGACTCCCCGCTGAGCAGGGAGCCCAATGTGGGACTTGATCCCGGGACTCCAGGATCATGACCTGAGCCGAAGGCAGTCGCTTAACCAACTGAGCCACCCAGGTGCCCCTGCTAATTTACATTTTTATTATTTGCCTATTTTCTTTGTTTTAATAGTAATTTTTTTCTAATATATAATCTCTATAAAACACTTAGTAGAGAAAAACTTAAAACCTTTTTGCAAACCTAAATTCCATCTCTTTTCTTTCCTCTGAAATCATCACTGGTATAGGTTGGTATATATCTTTCTAGATTATTAAATATTAAGTATACATATACAATTAAATGTCACTTATTCCTAGGTAGCTTTCACTTCTTTGTTTCTACTGAGATTGCAGCTGTATTTTTTAACTTTGGTATGAGGGAAAACAATTTTTAATCTCTGTAATAAAAAAAACCCTTTATTCTCTTGGTTTTTAAACATTTATGTCATCTACAAATAATGATAACTGTCTTTCCTTGCAGATAGTCATGCTTCTAATTTCTTTTTCATGTGTCAGTGTAACAACTACAACCACTAGAACAATTTTGTTTTTAAAAGATTTATTTATGAGAGCGTGCACATGTGAGCAGGAAAGGGGCAGAGGGAGAGGGAGACAAGCAGACTCCCCACCAAGTGGCGAGCCTGATGTGGGGCTTAATCCCAGGACTCCAGGATCATGACCCAAGCTGAAATCAAGACTCAGATGCTCAACTGCCTGAACCACCCAGGCACCCCTACTAGAACAATGTTAAACAAAAGTGACAAATAGTACAACACAAGAATACCTTGTACGGCCAAGATTGGTATTGGCTTTGGACAGATTTTTAACAATCATGTCAAGGAAACATTGTTCTTAGTTTAGTAAGAGTATTTTTTATTGTTATGTTAATCACCATACATTACAGCATTAGTTTTTGATGTAGTGTTCCACGATTCATTGTTTGTGCATAACACCCAGTGCTCCACGCAGAACGTGCCCTCTTTAATACCCATCACCAGGCTAACCCACCCCCCCCC